TGCCTGAACCCAGGAGGCGGAGGTTGCGGTGAGCTGAGATCGCGCCATTGCACTCCAGCCTGGGTACAGGCAATTCTCCTGCCTCAGCCTCCTGAGTAGCTGGGATTACAGGCACGCGCCACCATGCCCAGCTAATTTTTTGTATTTTTAGTAGAGACGGGGTTTCACCATTTTGACCTCGTGATCCACCCGCCTCGGCCTCCCACAGTGCTGGGATTACAGGCTTGAGCCACCACGCCCAGCCTTATATTTTTGTTTTTTTGAGATGGAGTTTCAGTCCTGTCGCCCAGGCTGGAGTGCAGTGGCAAAGTCTCGGCTCACTGCCATCTCTGCCTCCCGGAGTTCTCCTGCCTCAGCCTCCCAAGTAGCTGGGATTACAGGCGTGACCCACCACGCCCCGCTAATTTTTGTATTTTTAGTAGAGATGGGGTTTCACCATGTTAGCCAGGCTGGTCTCCAACTCCCGACCTCTGGTGATCTGCCCGCCCTGGCCTCCCAGAATGCTGGGATTACAGGCGTGAGCCACCGCGCCCAGCGGGTCAATGATATCTCAATAAAGCTATTGAAAAAGTAAAACTAGTCAGCCACAAAGACCCACAGACCTCCACGCAGGCCTGCCAGCTCCACTGCCCTGAGCCCCCCTGGCTCCAGGCCCGGCAGGGGTTGATGGAGCCCCAGGAGCTCGGGATGGGGAGACCAGGGCTCTGAGCTGGCTATGTCGCTGGTGTTTGCTGGGTGCTGGCTGTGTGCCCGCTGTGTGCTGGGCCACAGGATCCACTGGTTCCTGTCACCCCCACCTGCCCCTGGGGGTGCTGCTGGCTTCTACAGGGGGAAACTGAGGGTCAGCGCCGGACGAGGGGGGGAGCCCAGGCAGGCCCTGGGAGCAGTTTGCAGTGGAGACATTGAGCAATTTCCCGTGTTCCCACTGAGCGAGGCTGTCCCTGGGCCTGGGTGGGGACACTGCCAACCGCCAAGGCCCGTGTATAAGGGCGGCTGCCAACTTAGCCACAGAGCTTCCCCGCCATGACCCCGCTGACCGTCCTGGTCCCGCTCGCTGCCCTGCTGGTGTCCTCGAGGGCCGGTGAGTGCCCGACTCAAGGCACAGAGGCGGCAAAGGCTTGGCCTGGGTCACACGGCCAGCCCAGCTGGACAGTCCCGGGAGAGGCTTGCAGGTGGAGGGTGTGCGGGACTCGGGGCCACCTGTCCTCTTAGGGAGTGGGGCGACGGGTGAGGGTGGGTCCCCCCGCAGCCCCATGGAGCCGAGGCTGGAGCTTCACGTGCCCTCCTGGCCACCGTGTGGGCTCTCGAGGTCTCAGAGCTGCCTTCCCCCACCCAGGTTCCAGCCCCCTCGCAGACATTGTGGGAGGCCGGAAGGCGAGGCCCCGCCAGTTCCCGTTCCTGGCCTCCATTCAGAATGAGGGGAGGCACTTCTGCGGGGGTGCCCTGGTCCATCCCCGCTTTGTGATGACTGCAGCCAGCTGCTTCCGAAGCCAGTGAGGGGGGCCCGGGAACGGGGCCTGGGGGTGCTTAGGGGGTGCTTGGGGGTGCTTAGGGGACTCAGAGGGGGTGCTTGGTAGTGGAGGGGAGGGGGTTGCAAAAGGAGAGGCTCAGGGAACGGAGGGGGCTTGGAGAGGGACATGGGGAGTGAGTCGAGGCGGGACCCAAGGAACAATATTGGGGGGCTCAGATGGAGGAGGCCCAGAGAAGGAAAAGGGGCTCAGATGGAGGAG